ACATATACACATATATACATATACATATACACATATATACATATACACATATATACATATACACATATATACATATACACATATATACATATACACATATATACATATACATATCCTCATGCATGCTCAATAATCCAGGTAGAAAAATCCAAAAAAGTTCAATCTGGTCCTCTGAACATTCAAAAAAACAAAAAATAAAACAAAGCAAAAAAAAAAAAAAAATATATATATATATATATACATTCATCCATCCATCCATCCATTTTCCTCCGCTTATCAGGGGTCGGGTCGCGGGGGTAGCAGCCTAAGTAGGGAGGCCAGACTTCCCTCTCCCCAGCCACTTGGGCCAGCTCCTCCTGGGGAATCCCGAGGCGTTCCCAGGCCAGCCAAGAGACATAGTCCCTCCAGCGTGTCCTGGGTCTTCCTCTGGGTCTCCTCCCGGTGGGACGTGTCCGTAACACCTCACCAGGGAGGCGTCCAGGAGGCATCCTTAACAGATGCCCGAGCCACCTCAACTGGCTCCTCTCTACGTGGAGAAGTAGCGGCTCTACTCCGAGTCCCTCCCAGATGACAAAGCTTCTCACCCTATCTCTAAGGGAGAGCCCAAACACCCTGCGGAGAAAACTCTTTTCGGCCGCTTGTATCCGAGATCTCGTTCTTTCGGTCACAACCCAAAGCTCATGACCATGGATGAGGGTAGAAACGTAGATCGATCGGTAAATTGAGAGCTTTGCCTTTTGACTCAGCTCTCTCTTCACCACGACAAACCTGTACAGCACCCGCTTCACTGCAGACGCTGCACCTATCCGCTCATCGATCTCACGCTCCATTTTTCCCTCATTCGTGAACAAGACCCCAAGATACTTGAACTCCTCCACTTGGGGCAGGACTTCCTCCCTGACCCAGAGAGGGCACTCTACCCTTTTCCGGCTCAAGACCATGGCCTCAGATTTGGAGGAACTGATCTTTATCTTGGCTGAGTCGCACTCGGCTGCGAACCGCTCCAGCGAAAGCTGTAGATCACGATCTGATGAAGCCAACAGGACCACATCATCTGCAAAAATCAGAGACGCAATCCTAAAGCCACCAAAATGGATCCCCTCAACACCTTGGCTGCGCCTAGAAATTCTGTCCATACAATTTATGAACAGAATCGGTGACAAAGGGCAACCTTGGCGGAGTCCAACTCTCACCGGGAACAAGCCCGACTTACTGCCGGCAATGCGGACCAGGCTCTGACACTGATCATACAGGGACTTAACAGCCCATATCAAAGGGCCCGGTACCCCATACTCCCAGAATACCTCCCACAGGGTTCCCCGAGGGACGCGGTCGAACGCCTTCTCCAAGTCCACAAAGCACATGTAGACCGGTTGGGCAAACTCCCACGCACCCTCCAGGACCCTGCTGAGAGTGTAGAGCTGGTCCAGTGTTCCACGACCAGGAAGAAAACCACACTGCTCCTACTGAATCTGAGGTTCGACTATCCGACGGACCCTCCTCTCCAGAAGCCCCGAATAGACCTTACCAGGGAGGCTTAAGAGCGTGATCCCCCTGTAGTTGGAACACAACTCTACGGTCCCCCTTTTGGAATAGGGGGACCACCACCCCGGTCTGCCAATCCAGGGGAACTTCCCCCGATGTCCACGCAATATTGCAGAGTCTCGTAAGTCAACACAACCCTACAACATCCAGAGCCTTAAGAAACTCCGGGCGAATCTCATCCACCCCTGGGGCCCTGCCACCGAGGAGCTTTTTAACCACCTCGGTGACATCAGCACATTAACGATTTTATTGTCTGAAATTTAACAATAATTAGTAATTAATGTCATATTTTAGAAGAAATGTTTATTTGTTTGGAGTGTAGTACCTTTTTTGACCACTTGATGGCAGTATAAGACTGTTTGAACCAAAGGATGGATATCCTGATGCATGCTCAATAATCCAGGTAGAAAAATCTAAAAAAGTTAAATCTGGTCCTCTGGACATTCAAAAAAACAAAGCAAAGCAAAACAACAAAAAAATGTAGAAACGTTTCGTCTCTCATCCAAGAGACTTCCTCAGTCTGAGGTGCTGTATTCAGCTCAGTCTCTTAAATAGCACCTTCTCAGAGGATGGATAGTTGAGCAGCGTGTCTCTTTAACAAAAATGGGAAGGAGGCCCCTGACTTGACATATAGGCTGACATGGTGACATGGCGGATGCTCGTGTGGTTTGAGCTCTTTAGCATAGCATTTTTTACACAAAGCTTTTAATAAAAAAAATATAAAAAAATCAGTAAACAAGTTCTCAGCTTCTTTTTGCAGAAAAAAAACAACTTTTTACACGAAGGCACAGGTTTCAACCATGAATTTTGGAGCTTTGACAAGAGGTTTTTTTTCCCCCCAAAGTCGAACTGTTAGCTTAGCTCGGAGCTTAGCTTCACAGCTTAGCTGCTTTTAATGATCCAAAGACGCAATTTTGGACAGTTAAAACATATTTTAAAGAGAAAAGAGGCAGGGAGGGGTTAGTGAAAAGCACCGGAGTTGAAAGTTTTGTCATCCAGCGTCTTCAGTAGAAAGAGACAGACACGGTTCGGTAGGCAGGGTGGGGTCGGGGTGCCCTACTTGTATAATGGTAGGGGAAACATTGACACACACATTATGTATTTAAATATAAATTTCCTTATTCTTTACATGAATCTAGTCTTTTCTTTTATCTTAAATGTAAAAAAAATAAATAAAATCAATTACTGTTAATCATCATTAGATATCTTTAGTCTCAATGTCAGGCCTACTGGCTGAGAAAGCCCCCTCTAACAAACATGAAGTGGCCGATGGAGAAGGGGTTCTCTGCAGACCAAAAGTGGGCGTTTCTAGAGGGCAAACTCTGCTGCTCTTTAGGTAAGTTACGTCAGTCTTTTTTTAAAACTGAAGGTTTCTAAGAACCAGCATTACAGCTACTTTCAAACACAAGAAGATTATCTTCTGTTCTTGGGTTGTAGGCTGCACCTGACACAGGTTGGCTTGAGTGTGGTCTGGGTACAATGAAATATGAAGCATCTGAAGTGAACCCTGCTCCTATTTGTCAAAAAGTCTGATCTCAAAGATCATGAGTCCTGTAACGAGATAATGGACCAAAACAAAAGCTAAAAACAAAATTTGCTTTTTACAAGTGCTCTTCTATGAGATCTGATCTATGAAAGGAGCTGAAACATGGAGTAG